AAGATTGGTTTAGCATAGTAGGACAATCACAACTCCTTTAGTACGGGAAAAACATATTTTTTTAAACGCAGTGGACATCAAACCATTTAATTTGATTTTAAAGAAAAAGATAAAATGTAACAAAATTCATGGACTTCATCGATAACATATCATCAATCTTTCACTTTTATTAAGCTTCAAACTTTCAAAAGATGCAAGTTACTACTTGTCTTCTCAGAAGTATCTCAATTGCACACTAAGGAAAAAACTAAAAAACAAAGCACTGTTACTACTTTGTCTTCTCATTCTTGTTTGGGGAAGCGGGGCATCGTGGGCTACGTCCATCATTTTGGTTGATCTGCATAGAGAAGAGACATAGAAAAATCCGCAAGGACAAGGTAAGAAGCTTAGATCTGCTGCATCCATCTCTTCAGGACATATAATACATGCATTCATCACATCATCACCTTATTTCTTCTGATCATGCTTCCTATTTTTTCTACTTAAATTGTGATGAATTACCTTTTCTGGTGAAGCTTCTTGGTCGCACTTGCACTCGCCTGCTCTTCTCCATATTGCTGTAGAGAAGCAATGAATATTGTGATCTTTTGAGATTAATTAGCACAAGCTATTCAGGCACGATTCCAAAATCACCAGCTGGAGTTACAAAAGCTTTTGGTTTATCAACAACACCAATTAAGGAATGTGAAGACTTTAAGCCCCACAGAAATAATCAGATTGTACAAAGCACAAACACATACAATTTCTTAAAATTATTGTGACACCCGCCACTTAGAAACCAATATAAATAAAATAATCGAATAATAATAACATAAGTCTTCATTACCAAATATTGAAAAGTCAACATCCACGTCGGAAAATACATAATACAACATAACATCCGAAATATAAATAACAACATAGCGGTAAAAGTTCGAAGGCTTATAAACCCAATAACGATAAAATACGATAAAATAGGATAGAAGCCCAAAAGCTCAAATAGCACCAGTCCGATAGAATCACTCTTGCTCGTCGGTCTCACCTGCAAGGGGGAAAAGAAAGGAGGGGTGAGCAACAAGGGAGTCGCTCAGTGAGGTCTGGGGTGCTAAACCTCAAACCACTGACTCAGTACATAGCACTACGACTATGTAGGCCTAGCTCTAGCATGAATCAAACACGGTGATAGAACACCACACAATGCAAATCTAGTACACTAGTCAACTATCAAATATCAACTATCAACTATCACCCATGCGCTCATAGTACATAGTTACTCCCTTCCCGCGCATCTCCTCACAAGGATATATATACCCGCTGTGTCGCTAATACAGTCTATTTTTCTACCCCCCCCCCCCCGCACAACCATCCGCTGCGTCGCTAGTACAAACGTCTTTCTACCACAAAACCCACGGCGTCGCTGGTACCTCACTGTACCCCCGCCCAATACCCGCTGCGGCGCTAGCTCAGACGTCTCTGTCCCCCACACAAAACCCGCGGCGTCGTTAGTTTAGACATCTCTGAATCCCCGCCCACATCACATAGTCCCTACTTTGTAACTATATATATACATATATATAACAATTCTTAGCGTCAATCATTTCACACAACCGTTGAATTCTCTACTATTCTATTTCCATTTTAACAACCAAGAATAAAAATAAACAAGCAAGACTCGATTCACAGAGATGGATCATGTTTCGAAACTAGACTTTTCATAATAGTAGTACTAAACTAGTTCGAGATTTGAACAGAGTAGCCCTCACCTTAGCAATGAAGAGAAGTGGTATCTATGAACTCCAGGTGCTCAAATAGACTCCAAATCTGAAACCGTGGCGAAAAATTGAGTCAAAACGGCTTTCAAACGGTTTAAAACAGGTTTCGGAAGGATTAGTCAAAGAGTCAATTCACAGGTCAAAGTCAACCCGGTCAATCCTTGACCAGAAATCAATTGACTTAACCTATCGGTTTGACCTTAACCGATTTCGATTTCAATTGAACCAAATCCTAATCGATTTCAATCCGGTTTACACTTTAACCGAAATCAATTAATTTAATTAACCGGTTTACCCTAACCGATTTTTAATTGGTTTTAACAGCTGGTTTAACTAACCCAACAACTAACCGAAATTGACCAGCAACAAATGGTTGACCGAGTCAACGGTTGGCTCGCCGAGTTAACTCGGCCGAGTTGACCGAGTCGCCGGCGAGTCACCGGCTCCGGTCACCGGTCTGGCAAGAAAGGCGGTGGCTTACCGGCGGTTCACCGATGGTGGTGTCGTGGCGTCGCGGCGGCTTCCCAGCAGCGGGTGGATCCGGCGAGGAGACGGTGGCGAGTGGTCTTCACGCGCGGAAGGCGATCTTTGGAGGGCTCGTACAGGGTCGGATCGCGGCGTGGTCGGGGTCTACGGCTTCGTCTCGACGAGTAGAACACGGTGGTAGCCTTGCATGCACGATATTCTCAACGGTTAGAAAGTTATCGGCGATTTACTAAACGTCTCAAACTAACTTAAAAAGGTGGTGGTTTCCGGTCATATCTAAGGCGGTTACTAGAGGTGACGGGCTGGTCGTGAACTCTGGTCGTGGTGGCTCCGGCGACTGATTCCGGCGACTCCAACTCTGCATGCAAACACCAACACTTCTTCTCAACTCTCTCTTCCTCACAACTCTTTTTTTTTTCTTTCTTCTTGCTTGCAGAAAAATAAATGGGGAGAATGGGGATTTTATATCAAATACCTTGGGTATTTTCGGATGGGCCTGGGCCATGACAGGCTAAAATCTGATGGCTTGGGTTTGGGTTCTGACAATTCTCCCCCACTAATACGGAATTCGTCCTCGAATTAGAGTCAAGAGTCGACTGTTCGATAACGTCTAGAAACAACTCTGGAAAATCAATCCCCATCTTGGGATCAGACTCCCAGGTCTCCTCATGGATCCCGTCTCTCTCCCAACGAACCTTAACCATCATAGTCATCATTCTCTGATCCGCTCTCACTTGTCAATCCACAATCTCTACTGGCTGACAAAGTGCAGATAAATCTCTACCAAGGTCTCTCGGCGGCTGCTGCAAAATGAGCTCTGGCTCTCTCACGACTTTCCTCAAAACTGACACATGAAACACGTCGTGGAAATCTGATAACTCTGCTAATAAACCCAATCAGTAGGCAACTGCTCGAATCCGCTCCAAAACAGGAAATGGTCCCATATATCTCGGTTTAAGCTTCTTCAGCTTCTGAGTAGTAGATCCTCCCTGAAACGTCCTCATCTTCAGGTATACTACATCGCCAATCTGAAACTCTAAATCCTTACGCCACTTATCTGCATAACTCTTTTGACGGTCATGGGCTTCCTTAAGCCATCTCTTGAGCATCTCAACTTGCTCTATCATCTCTTGAACCATTGCTGGTTCTATCTCACGTTACTCCCCCACTTCTGTCCAACAAAGCGGGGTACGACAAGGTCTACCGTAAAGGGCCTCATATGGTGCCATCTTAATGCTCGAGTGATAACTGTTGTTGTAGGCAAACTTCGCTAGAGGTAAGTACTTCAACCAACTTCCTTCCCAATCTAAAACGCAAGGTTTGGATAGTCCTCTCTGACTGACCGTCTGTCTGCGGGTGATATGCGGTACTCATGTGGACCTTGGTCCCAAGCGCCTCCTGAAATGCTCTCCAAAATGCAGACGTGAACTTTACATCCCGATCCGAGAAAATGCTGACAGGTACTCCGTGCAATCTAACAATCTCAGTGATATAGATCTCCGCCAACTGCTCAACTTTGTCTGTCTTCTTAATTGCAAGGAAATGAGCTGACTTGGTGAGTCTATCCACGATTACCCATATGGCATTCTTTCCTTCCGTGGTGGTCGGCAACCCTGTCACAAAATCCATAGTCACCATGTCCCATTTCTATTCTGATAATGGCAGGTTTTGCAATAACCCGCTAGGTACCTGATGCTCTGCCTTAACCATCTGACAAGTCTGACACTGCGATACAAAAGTAGCGACATCCCTCTTCATACCAGGCCAATGGTAATAACGGTTCAGAACTCTGTACATCTTGGTGTTTCCTGGATGAATAGAGAAACTCGAGTGGTGTACTTGCTGTAAGATCTCCTTTCTTAACAGCTTATCATCAGGTACACAAACTCGGTTCCGGTACATAAACATCCCACTCGAAGCTGTATGATATCCAATGCTCTCGATCTTGATCTGCTTACGCAAAGCCTCATCACTATCTTGCGCTTTGCGTATCCTCCATAGAAAATCTGCCTGCTCTACAGCCTCGAGGCCAGCTGCCTCTCCATCTACAGTGGTGGCACACAATCTGAGACTAGCGAGGACTCCACTCAACTCTTGAACCTCTTTGGTTCTGAAACATCGCTTCTGCGTCTGCTCAAGGCATCTGCCACCTGATTAGCTTTGCCCGGATGATAGGTGATCTCCAAATTATAATCCGCTAACAACTCAATCCATCTACGCTGCCTTAAGTTCAAGTCTGTCTGAGTGAAGATGTATTTCAAACTCTTGTGATCCGAGAAAATCTTCACCTTCTCTCCATACAAGTACAATCTCCAGATTTTCAGCGCAAATACAACTGCCGCCAACTCCAAGTCATCCGTGGGATAATTAACCTCGTGAGGCTTTAACTGACGTGATGCATAAGCAATAACATGTTTCTCCTGCATCAACACACATCCCAACCCTGTACCCAACGCATCAGTGTAAACCTCATATGGTAGTCCCGGCCTCGGAAGTACCAACACTGGCGTATGTGCCAGTTGTCGCTTCAACTCCGTGAAACTTTTCGAGCAATCATCTGTCCAATCAAACTTGATGTCTTTTCCCGTTAGTCTCGTCATCGGCTTTGCAATGCTGGCAAAATTCTTAACAAACTTCCTGTAGTACCCAGCTAAACCGAGGAAACTGTGAAACTCTGTAGCACTCTTAGGTGTTGGCCACTCTGAAATGGCAGTAATCTTCTCCGGATTTACTGCAACTCCGGCTTCTGAAACCACGTGACCAAGAAACCCAATCTCCCTCTGCCAGAATCTGCACTTACTCAACTTAGCGAATAGCTGATGCTCTCTAAGCTTCCCCAACACAATCCATAAGTGCTCAACATGCTCTTCTCTACTCCGAGAATAAACTAAGATATCATCGATGAAGACAATCACACACTTATCCAAATGCTCTCGAAACACATCATTCATAAGCTTCATGAATGCCGCAGGTGCGTTAGTCAACCCAAATGGCATCACTACAAACTCATAATGCCCATAGCGTGTACGGAAAGCCGTTTTCTTCACATCTCCCTCAGCTATCGCGATCTGGTGATATCCCGATGCCAAGTCAATCTTAGAAAACCATGAAGCTTCTTGCAACTGGTCCAACAACTCATCGATACATGGAAGTGGGTACTTATTCTTGATGGTGACTTTGTTCAACCCTCTGTAATCGATGCAAAGCCTGAAACTCCATCTTTCTTCTTCACAAATAATACTGGTGCTCCCCATGGTGAAGTACTCGGTCTGATAAATCCCTTATCTGATAACTTCTCCAACTGCTTCTTCAACTC